CCAGTTTATCTTGCTTGATTTATAGTCCGTTTATCTGGTTCCAGCTGGTTTGGTTTTCATTCAGATTTTGGATCAGAGATGGGTCAGAGCCAAAACCCCAGGTCCAAAACAACTTGAGACCCTAGGAAGGAGGGCTTCAGAAACTTGTGTGGATCAGAATCTTGCAAATGGGTCCTCTTTATAGCCTGGGCACAGCGAAAGCCACAGTGGTGGGGAACAACTTGAGTGAGTGGATCAGTAAGTGGCAATTTTTGCTTATCAATTGTTCTGCCAGAGTTTAGGGCTTATACTGCCTTGATTCCAATTCACTAGGAGATTTAGCACGCGTCTCCAATGAAGCCAGGCTTGCTTTCTTTTATCTTATTGAATCCTGTAGTTCCAGACTTGCTATGATACCTTGGCTTGTTTTTCTCTTATAAACAGTACTGGAATGTTACCTCTCGCTTTTCATGCAGGAGCATAGGGGTTGGGATGAAGGAAGAAGGTGGAGGTATTTATGTCTTTTCTGCAATTTCTTTCTTTCTTTCTCTCTCTCTCTGTGGGATGGAGAAGGAACAGGAGAATTAAAATGAACAGGAGAACACTCTTTAAATGTGTTAAAACATTGCACAGTGCTGTTGGTGACAATGGAAAGTCAAATATGGTCTAGAGTATACAGTTAATATTAATATAGTTAATGATAGTAGCTGTAACAGCCCTACTTTAAAGCTAACCTAGTCATAAAACATATAGGCTATATCTAGACTGGCATGATTTTCCACAAATCCTTTTAACGGAAAAGTTTTTCCGTTAAAAGCATTTGCAGAAAACAGCGTCTAGATTGACACGGCTGCTTTTCCGCAAAAGCGGTTTTGCGCAAGAAAGCCCTGATCGCCATTTTTGCCATCGGGGCTTTTTTGCACAAAACAGTTTTTAGCTGTCTACACTGGCCCTCTTGCGCAAAAACATTTCCGGAAAAGGGCTTTTGCCCAAACGGGAATGTCAAAGCATTTGCACAAGAAGCACTGATTTTGGACAGTAGAACGTCAGTGCTTTTGCACAAAATCAAGCAGTCAGTGTAGACAGCTGGCAAGTTTTTGCGCTAAAGCGGCCGCTTTTGCGGGAAAACTTGCCAGTCTAGACGCAGCCATACAGTACAGAACAAAGAAGATTTCCATACAGAATGTGTCTCAAAATACTTTACAGAATTAAGCAGTGCATTGACAGAGAAAAATAGTAGCAGATGGGAGGAAACAGAAGAGTAGAAGGAGAAATTATGTTTTCAGCTGTATTAAGATGGAGAGTCAGTGAAGTAGAATGAATCAGGACAGCAGGCATAGCTGGTGGGGGCAGAAGAGAAGGCTCTTGATTGCATGGAAGAGGGATGAAAAGGAAGCCAGTGCCAGGTGAGCAGGGAGAGGTCTCTCTGGTTAGAAGCTATGTTGATGAGCATAGGAAGGATGGATAAATGGTTTACAGAAGACAAACTCCATGAGGCATGCTGGAGCTTCATTAGGAGGCTGGGTGGGGCATTTTAAAAATGAAGCATTTTTTTAACTGAATCCTGAAATGAATGGAGAACTAATCTGTTCCTTTCAGAAAGAGGCTGGTATTGTAGTCAAGGAAAAAATACAGAAAGGAGTGTATGAAGACTTTAATGTAATTATTATTTATTATGTGCAAGGGTCTGTATGTGTCACAGAGGTCATGGAAATCACGGATTCCATGGCCTACGTGACTGCCTCAGAGGACGGTGCGGCTGGCAAGGGGCAACCTGAGCAGTTCAGGCAACCCCCTGGGCCAGCCACACTGGCCATTGCTAGGGGAGTCTCATGCCACCATGCCCTCCCCCATCCCCACAGCAGCAAGAATCTGGGTGTGGAAGGAGCCTGGGGTTGGTATGTGGGAGAGGGTGCAGGTTCCAGGTGGCACTCATGTTGGGGAAGTTCCCTGGAAGCAACAGCTTGTCCCTCAGCTCCAAGGCAGACGTGTGGCCAAGTGGTCATCTGTATGCTGCTTCCACCCACAGGCACAGGCTGTGGTTTCCGGCCAATGGAAGTTGTAGAGCCACTGCTCAGGATGGGGGGGGGGCCCCTCGGCTGTGCCTCCACCTGCTAAACCTCCCTTCCCCAGCAGCAGCAGGGGTCCTGCCCTTCTCCCCCATAAAGACTCCAAGTGTTAGTTAGAAGTACATACTACAAGGCACGGACAGGTCACAGGCTGTAAATGTTTGTCCATGGCTTTTATTAAAAATACCTGTAACTAAAACATAGCCTTAATTGTGGTTATTACAGTGGCACTTAGAGATCCTAGCCAAGACTGGAGGTGCACCATGTTAAAAGCTATGCAGATATATAAGGAGAGACTAACCCTACCTCAAAGAGTTTACAATCTGTAGAGACAAGACAAACGGCTTGAGAGGAAACAGGCTCAGTGAGATGGAACTGACTTAACCAAGGTCACGCAGTAGATCAGAAAAAGGAGACAAGAATAGAATCAGGACTGAAAGCCTGACTCTGCTGAAATCAAGAGCAAAATTGATTGTAGTGAAGTCAGGCTTTTACCCTAGGTCTTTTGGTTCGCTGTCCAGGAAAAGTGGAGTTGAGCAGTGGTATACATAGACAATGTGGCACAGCAGGTGATCCATATTATGATATGCTATTTGTGTGCCTTACTACCTTCCCGCAATATTAACAGCTGGGGATTCTATGGTGGGAAGCAAAGATTCTGAACAAGATTTGGGGAACTGTGATGAATAATTGGATGTCCTTCAGCTCCCAATACAATGCTGTAGTGAAAAGAGCTAATGCAATCCTGGGACACATAAACAGGTGAATTTTGAGTCAGAGTAGAAAGGTTAGTTTATGTCCGTATTTGATACGGGGGCAACTTTTACTGGAATAGTATGCCCATTTCTGGAGGTCTCAATTAAAAAAGGATGCTGAAAACTTGCAAAAGGTTCAAAGAAGAGCCAAGAGAATGATTAAAATATTTTAAAAACTGCCTTTTAGTTTGACTGAAGGAACTCAATCTATTTAGCTTAACAAAAAGGTCAAGGGATTACTATCTAAAAGGGGAACACTTATTTCATAACGGTCTTTTCCTTCTAACAAGAAAAAAGTATAACACAATCCAATTGCTGGAAGTTAAAGCTAGACAAATTCAGACTGGAAATTAGGTGCAGATTTGTAAGAAACAGAGTAATTAACCACTGGAATAATTTACCAAGGGTCGTGGTGGAGTCTCCACCATTGACAACTTTTAAATCAATGTTGGGTATTTTTCTAAAAGACATACTGTCGGAATTATTGTGGGGAAGTTCTATGGACTGTGTTATACTGCAGTTTAGACTAGGTTGGAATCTATGAATCTTTTAAAGGTGCATCTGTACTGATACCGTCTATTAAATAACAGAGGGGTAGCCGTGTTAGTCTGAATCTGCAAAAGCAACGAGGAGTCCTGTGGCACCTTATAGACCAACACTTCAGTTAGTCTATAAGGTGCCACAGGACTCCTCGTCTATTAAATAAAATACCCATAACTTTTCTCAGAGGGATGTCGTAAGAATACGT